AGAGCTTCAAAAATCTAGGCCCAGGCCCCGGGATCATGAAAAAATCTTAAGTCTAAAATTTGCTTAGCACAAAAATATCTTAAGTCTAAATTATTTTGCTTAGCTAAGATTTTAGATAAGACTGGATCATGAAACTGTCTCAGCCAAATCTTAGCTAAGACTAAGACTAAGACAGTTACCATGGAAATTTTAGAATGATGTAATCATGTCCGGTCACTCTTAAATAATTGAGGAGAATAGTTTAGTACCAGGCACCTGCTGAAATGTTCCAAACAAGTCAACTGACGCTTTTATCCCTGCCAAGGTGACTTTTAGTGTCTTTAAGGTTGGATGTTTTCTAAATACACCAACACTCTAACTTAAATGCTTTCTGCCATATTGCATTGGATAGTGTTTTCAAAATCCGCTTTCTGAAGGCCGGTATTGAGACGCCTATTACATCAATGTATATTTCCTTTTCATCTGTGACAAATACATCACTGAATTCCTCATACATTTTAGTATCAAATAAGAAATGGTCTTTGTCACTAAAACCAAGTGTCTAGGTGATATGAAATCGAACGCCTGTGTGAGAAAGACAGCACTTGTTGAAATGTAAACAAAGAAACATTGAGACTTTACACTGTGTACTGCATTTTCTCAAATTTCAAACACCCATTCGCTCTATTCAGTAGCATGCATAGGCTCAATACTTTTAGAACATACATGGAAATAGTATCGAAAGCAAAAAATAATAGATACAATACAGTAATGTGATATGTTTATACCTAAATTGTCAAAGTTTCTGTGCAGCGAACGCCATGACTGACGGAAAATCTCGCAGAACAACAACGGTAATGATCGCATATCTGGCTTCTTCTCTTACTTGCAATGAAAACGATAAAACATAACAATACACAGATAGTCAGAATCATTCTGATTACTCACATCACACATTTATGTACAAACGATCCCCCGAATCAAAGGAAAGGTCCTCGCGAAAATCCTGTATACCCATGTCACCGGGTCGCCATTTTGTAAGAAATCGGTCACTGGTTGTGACGTCACATATCGCCAACATTGTTGTTACATATTTGGCAATTTCTTTGAGGTGAAGGTCGGTTGAATAACAGTAAACACAATCGCCATGTTCCAATCGATTACACTTTCAGTGTATATTTTGAGTATCTTTCAGATATTTTTTCATGAAACTATAATTTCATTATCTACATTTACCCTTGTTCTATATCATATCCTTGGATATAGGGTATACGGTTTTCATTCTTTCAAGGGTTTTGTTTGTTTGAATAATATTTACATAAGAAATTGATATACTGAGTGTAGTACACCATATTTAAACCCTTAAACAAGTTTTTAAAAGAACAAACGAAGGCGTAACTGCAACATGTACTTAAATAGTTCATGTATCATGTGCAATATTCGCCATTCGGACCAATATTACAGTTGCATATGAACAGGTTATGAATAGCGATTTAACTTTCATGACCCCGGGCCAGGGTTGTGAAATATTCTGTTTAATTTATCAAATTGATGCCAAACAGGTCGCGTGTGTTGTTCATATTAAGATACAAAGTCAAACCGCCTAATTATGGATCTATTCAGGACATTATTTAAATGGTAAAATCAGTCATTTTAAGTTCTGTCACAAGAGTGTTAAATTCAGACATAGAAACCAAAACCTTTACACAATTCATGGATATTATGTGAGATATATACTGATCAGCATACCAGTGTCGCTTTTTTCCCATCGCCTCAAAAATACATAAAACAAGCAATGACGCCTACTACAATTTTGTAATCTTTTCAGTAATTTCATTATATTTGAAGATATGGCTAGTACTCAGTAAATAATGATGCAAAATCAGTCAAAAATACATCTACACAAACAGGAGAATATGTGAATTTAAGAACTAATTTACATATCGGATAGGGCCATCAAAATCGCTTTTACGTGCTTTTCTCATGTAGTACATTGTCATCTTTTCTTATAACTTGTGAAACTACTAAAACGTATCCGCCACATTGGGGAACTTTGTATTGAATACATGTAGTTTGGTTCACGGTGAACAAAACATAAGGAAAATATAGCCCCGTGATCCACAACGAATTCTCTCCAAGTGATATGAGTTACATTGACCTAGTGTTAAGCATAGCGGAGTTATGCCCCCTTATCTTTATATCACAGATGACCTCTCTGTCGTCCTTAGACGCCATAGAAGAAAATCCATTTTGACATTTATTGCGCGTAGTCATTTTAATGTTGAGCTGCATAACGCTATGCATAAGCAAATAAACCCATTTCATATATATACTTATGTCGCTCAGATATCAGGCTGTAATATATTCGCTCACACTTTCTGTAAAGATGCCAAATTAAAAAATCGGTGCAGCACAGTGCTTTTTTTACCGTGCACCATCAAAAGCCGAGAAATTTACTGTTTTGAATGCATAGCAAAATTTTGGACATCATTTAGCAGTGTTTATTTTCAAACCCGAGGTATTTGCATTTATACTTATACCAACGGATAGGAAATTTAATATTCCACATTTCTGTGTAATTTTATAGCTGTAACGGAGATACAGGACCACGCTGAAAGCACAAATCTCAGCACAACGCTCACTTTTCAAACCTTATGAAATTGTGCCTGAAAAAAACCTCGGCATCAAAAAGGACTTAAGACTGGTAGGTAGCAGTCTCAGGATTTAAGACAAAAAATGATCTCAGTCTTAACTTTTAAGACTAAAAAATGTACGTGATCCCCGATTTAAGACAATTTTTGGGACTTAAGATCAAAATGACAGACTTAAGCAAATTTTAGACTTAAGTCACTTTCATGACCCCGGGGCCAGGAGTACAAGTAGAACAAGTGATTTTTAAATAAGATTGAAAGGATTGCACTCTCAGTTGTCAAGAACATCAATTACACTGAGTTCTCTCCCTTGCATAAAGAGGATTTCAACTTCTGACTTGACAGTTGAATCCGTGGTGTCCCTGGTGTTGAGCTAATTCTCAATAGTCTGTTGTTTAGTTTAAGCTAGATTGTATTGGATGCATGTTGATAACATAGAGGAATTTAATCTTTGCCTTGCTTTGCATGAAGGGAAAAGGTTTTCAAGTTCATCACTTTTTGTACAATGTCATATACTTTTAACTAATTGTTACAATTTAGTGTATACTAGATATGTTATCCGTATTAGTTAGTCCTATCTTAACCCATTAAGTTACCTTTGAATTTGTTTAAATGTGTTAGTCATGATAAGTTTGCAGTTTATTGATGATCTACCTGTGGCACAGAATAATATTTGTTTGTGTCTCTTGTGGAGATTCAGGGTTGTGTACCCACAGCATCACTGCATGTTATAAGAAGCGTCTAAATTGCGAACCCCTTTGGATTCTGATTGGTCCCCATCAATCTTTGCTGGCCTTGGAGTGAGTGAGTGGGTTTAGTTTTACGCCGCACTCAGCAATATTCCAGCTATATGGTGGTGGTCTGTAAATAGTTGAGGCTGGACCAGTCAATCCAGTGATTAACAGCATGAGCATCGATCTGCGCAATTGGGAACCGATGACATGTGTCAACCAAGTCAGCGAGCCTGACAACCTGATCCCGTTGGTCGCCTCTGACAACAAGCATGGGTTACTGAAGATCAATTCTAACCGGACCTTCATGGGTGCTGCTGGCCTTAGAGGTGACCAGTGGGTCATGTATGGTGACCAGTGGGTCATGTATGGTGACCAGTGTTCACAAATAGCATCAGACCTTCAGACAAATCCGGCAGATTTGCTGTTGGTCCGATGGAAGTCTACTACTGCCGGCCCCAGTGTCCGACTGTATAGTTCACAATGACTTAATTTTTCTTCTGTGGGTCCCTTGAATTTTCAGTGGGTGACAGACATCTGAAACTTACAGGACCCAATGTCCTGTTATTTTGAAACATCATTCGTGAACACTGGGTGACCTGGTGATGGTATGCCAATGTACCTCAACAAAGTACCTGATCATTGCTCTCAATATTGACCACTGGATATTATGGCCAAGACTGGATGATATATAGACACGCCCTTTCCCTATAACTGGAGTAATGCTGAGTGGGTTGTTAAACATGACTGAACAACACACACACTCTCTTTCTGTATGAATTTTAACATGTGAATATTGTTATTTGGATCCATGATGTGGACAAATATTTGTTGAATGTGATTTAACATGTAAAATATATATATGAATAGTTTCTACATTATTGGACTCTTATCTGTATCCTTCATTACACAAGATTCTGTGACCCGTGAAGATCCGGGTGAAGATCTTCGGTGCAATGTGTGAAGCCCATTTCTGGTGTCCCCCGAAGTGATATTGCTGGAAGCAGCATAAAACTATACTCACTCACTCATGTGTCCAACATATTAAGTGAATCACTGTCATAATTTCCAAATGTTTACCAGTTGCAACAGGCCAAACTTTCCCCTGGCCAAACTTTCCCCCTCGACAATCTTTCCCCCTCGACAAACCTTCCCCGGGGAAAGTTTAGACAGGGAAGAAATGGCCTGCTACAATCGGTACCTAATTTTACATTCTGAAAGCCAACCTTTGATTTTTATGACCTGTCCAATCAAGGATATGAAGACAAAACTGTTTGTGCCATTTTATAACATGCCTTTTTGTACTGAAGATAGACAAGAAAAATTAAAATCTGTCCACAGTGACCATGATGGTGAACGGCGTCACACAGACATTTTCTGTTCAGGCCTTGTTATTGGCTAACGTTTGCAAGAATTATTAACTGGTTATTGTGTAAATCTCTTTCATCACTGTTTGTTTACATAATGGATCCACATTATTAGAAATCTGCAATGGTGTTTTACTGTATTTTGCCACTCTAATATATGACGTGGTGGTTTGGTATCTTAGCAACAAAAGTTTCTGTGTCATTTACACAAATGTTTCAAATCAGTTCATATGAGATATACACTTAACAAAGTTGATTTTCTTGATTTTCAGAAATACAAACCTTTCAAGGGAGTGAAGTATTTGACGAGGGCTGGAAAGTTCCAGATACGCACATAATCAACAAGACAGTATACTTTCTGTTCATGGTTTCCTTGTGTGAAGGAGCGTGCACATGAACACTGGGACGGCTGTGTGGGGCAGTCTGGTGCACAGAAACGTTCTGACGATAGTACATCGACGATGTTTCATTGATATGTATAAACTATGTCCTCCATTACTCATCACTAGGTACAGCTGCTATACAGTGTTGTCAATATGTGCAGTATAAGGAAGCCGGCTACTGCCCCACCAATGAAAGAGTGCAGTAGGCACGTCTGCTCTCATTTCATGATAAGCAATTTGTGTTGAATAATTCATAGTGACACGTTATCACATGATATGAAAATTAGTCTGTGGAAGTTGTGTAATTCACAAATCAGTTATACAATGCCTTATTTCCTCTGACAAGACAACTACACCCCACACAAGCTGTATACACTGACAAGTCATGGAGGAACGCTGGGTGTACAGACCTGTGACGTACCGATGTCCGACAAGCTCATGGATACGTCTGTAGTGACAGTCTGAGTGACTTGTTAACAGACCAGGGTCCTGTTCCACAAAGCGATCGTAACCCTAAGATGATCGTAACTCCCATACTTCAACATAGACTTACAACAGTCGTAGCGCTAAGATGATCGTAACTTCCATACTTTAACATAAGATCGTAACTCATAGACAGTCCCCTAAGATGATCGTAGAACTCCCAGCTTCAAGATGATTGTAACTAACCATACTTCAACATAGACAGTCGTAACCTAAGATGATGTAACTCCCAGACTTCAACATGGCAGCTAAGATGATCGTGAACTCCCAGCCCATATACTTTAACATAGACTTAACGACAGTCAACATAGCGCTAAGATGATCGTAACTTCAACATATACTTTAACATAGACTTATGACTGTCGTAGCGCTAAGATGATCGTAACTCCCATACTTTAACATAGACTTACGACAGTCGTAACCCTAAGATGATCGTAACTCCCAGACTTCAACATAGACAAACGACAGTCGTAACCCTAAGATGATCGTAACTCCCAGACTTCAACATAGACTTACCACAGTCGTAATACCACGATCGGTTGGTGGGACAGGGCCCAGGTCCTGATCAATTAATAATTGAATTTGTTATTGGACCAGCATATTTGTTGAAATGGTTGATGAAAGAATGTGAATTGTCTGAACCAGTACCAACGTCCACATGTGTACAAACTGGACAATACAGTTAGTGAATTAGTCAGGCTTAATCAGAGACTTGTTACTTTGATTATGGAACCACCAGCTGATTTCCACATCAGCAAGAAATTCTCCCTAAACAGAAAGTTTTTTGTGTTGTTTTTTTTACCTTAAAGCTAGGTATGTCAGTGTTCCAGGGGCATGTTAAGATTATATTGGTATGATTGAAATGTGTTCAGTGCCAAAGGGCACACCTAGAAATGATATTTTGTTTATTTCATCAACTCGGGGACAAGTGTACTTTTACAGTTTGATTCACTGTTCTGTCCTGAGGTCTGCTGGCGACTGTGTCCAATCTCAGTTGAAGAAAAAAGGGAAAATCTTTTTAAATTACTACAGCTTACCTTCTGGCATAAAATTTGCAATTTCAAAGATAGGTAAAAAATACCTTACTACTTGACACCCTTCACAGTCCATTCATTAACTGAGACTACGAGTGAGTGAGTGAGTGAGCGCATGAATGTGTCTGCCTGCATTAGGTTTAACCATGTTCGAGACAAACTTGGATCAATACATCTGAGCTGCTTAGAGATGATTATGATAGAACTCGCTCTACAGATGTTATATCATAAGCTTCTCATCTTTGTTGTTTCCATGTTATGTCTCTCGTCCTGGCAATTATGTCCTGATCATGTTGTCATTGTATTTATAAATCTGTATATTCTTGGTGTGTAGATAATTCAATGTAAATGTCCTGCTAAGATTAAATATGAAATGAAAACATAAGTCTTTGTTATATACAATACGTGATTTATATCCTTCCTCATGTGACAAAATGATCAGTGGTTGCTATGGTAACAGTTGAGAACAGTTCCGAAGAGAATTACCAGTATGATCTATGGTCACTATGGTAATATATGACAATGGATCAGGTAGTATTACGGTTATGCTCTGTGATCACCATGGTAACAGATGACAGGGGTACCAGGCAGTATGACCAGTATCCAGTATGACAAAGATGAGTGTGTGTTACAGACCTGCAGTAACACCATTTATAACACAGACATAATACTGATGCTTATCATGATTATTACACATGCAGACATACAGGTAGATATACACCATGGTGTTGAATAGTTACCAAAATTATTACGTGTATAAACTATATTATTCATTACTTTTTATCAAACCTGCAAATGATGTCATTGTCATTTCTTTTCAGTAGTGTTGGGAATAGGTTAAAATCTCATAATTGATGATTGGTTTATTACAACGGATCAATCATCGAAAAAAATTGGTTAGCGTCATTAATGAAATTTGTTAATGCACATAAAAATAAGGAAAAACATGTAGTTCTTTTGGTTTTGGGGCAAAATTTCACATCTTTAAAGGATGACTAGTATGTTAGGAACATAAATTTCTTGGTGTCTTTAAGATATATTCAATCATGACTTGGAACGAGCTTGTAGTGCTTATGAAATGTGACAGACAAAACCAGCCTTGTGAAATATATAGTTTATGAAAACAAGTGTTCCAGAATTGTTTGTGTTCGATTATGAGAAAACATGATCGACTGCTTGGTCGTTTAGTCACTGCGACCAATCTTCGATTATTTAAATTAATCGGATCACCACTACTTTTCAGTATGCATCAAAGCTTCAGATGAATAAAATCAAAACAATGTACAAAATATTGTGGAAGTTTCCAGTACTTCCAGTACTTGTCATTGAATGTGGAAATATAACACAGGCCATTTTACTGATGAAAGATGTCTATATTGTAACAACATGGAAAATGCCCAGTCTGTGTGCTGTAAGGTTTTACTCAACCAAGAATTAAACACACTACTCTATATGTACTCATCCATATTATGACACAGAATGTTAATGTGAATGAAAACCTTTGGATGAATAGGCAGCATGGGTTGTATGTTTCCCATGGAGCTGAGATATAATTTGAATGCACATCGATCCATTGATCATGTACATTCATCATCTTTAAGTATGACTGTCCTCAGCTTGACATCTTGTGCTTCATAGTGGCCAAGTGGCACTTCCCCACTACTTCATTTCGAGGCATGAGTAGATGCAATATGAATTGTGATTTCTGTGAATAATGCGGACCGAAGTTATAATTATTGGTAACTGCCAGTTGTCTTGTGGTCTGAGTTGGCCGCGATTAGGACCCCATCGCGGGGGTCGGCTTATGTACAAAACATACCATTTTGAAACTGATTTTAAGGGTCAAGTTAGGGAGTCGACTTACCTATGAGATAGGCTTATCTACGGTAATATATGGTATATCTTTATCAGAACAATCTTCAAGGACTTGATGTGATTGCAAGTATTACTGAAAGGCTGTACTCGATGACTAGTGAAGATGTGTGGAATTAAAGTCACTGATATCAACATGGATCACACGACAAAACAGAATAATGTGAAGTATGTTTTAAAACTACTCAGATGAAGGAATCTTTCACACTTTATACAGCATGATACACAAGCCCAACTAAAGAAAGGCTATTGTTTCCCATGACAGACCTGTCACAATCTTAATTTGTTTTTTGTGTAATGTCACATTCAGCAATATTACATGACTGGTCTGTCCATCAGAATGTCTGGACCAGACAATCCAGTGACTGACATACAGGAACATAGAACCAGCCGAATCAACCAACCTGACCACCCAAACTATTCACCCGCCTCTTGACCAGCTTGGCATTGGAGACCTGACTTCTTAAAATATATTTGAAATACAATGCTCAGTTGTAATATCAATATTGATACTATATTTCTAGGACTACGCAGCCTTTCAGATGTGTACAGTGAGCATGTTCAATGGAAACATGATGATCTATGGAAATTGATACAACAGATCTTGGCCCTTATTCTCGAAACGTTCGTAGCCCTAAAAATTCTTAACTTTGATCGTAGCCAATGTATTAAGAATGGGCTAAAGAAGTTCGTAGGGCTACAAACGTTTCGAGAATAGCTAGCCTGCAGGACTTAGACAAAAGTCACAAAGTCATGTTTAAGGAGCTCTACTAATCTTTCATACAAATACAAAATCATGGTCATCTCGACATGAACATCAAGAGAAACAAGATTAACTAAAGACATTACACTTCCATGATATATGATCTTGACCATAATATGGTTCCTTCACCTTGTCTGGAACATCAAAACTGATGTATGCATTACTATGAACACTGTACAAGTAAGGTCTATGTTTGTCATTTACAGTGAACTTCCCACTATATGACGGCAATCTGTGGACTATCAAGTCTGGACCACACAATCCACTGATGATTATTGTGATGAATGATTCATGCCAAGCAACCAAGTCACATAGAATGACCACCTTGTCCAATAGGTCACCTCTTGCTACCGGCACTGACAGCTGGGGACCAGTTCTAATCTGGATTCCCCCTGGATAGGAACTACACATCTAATCCTTCATCAGGCTGGAAACAGCAAGATCTACAGGATGTTGTTGACAATTGCCTCCAAAGAAGATCCTGTGTTTGATGGCATTGAGAGATCCCCAACTCTGATCTTGCCTTGGTCTCACTTATCAACATCCTAAATACACGAGTCTTCCACATCTACTACAGTGTGTCACATTATGACATGAACTGAGCACAGGAAACACCTCAACAAATCACTGACACGTTTGGCAAACATTTAACATTCCATGATCTTCATCAGTACTGATCTGTCTATTCATCATGAGTTCTTTTGTATCTCATCCTTCAGCTTATGAAAAAGTAGATTCGTTGATACCTCTGCAAAGCAGCATTTTAAACACCAGTGTCTCAATACGCACATCATCATCATCATCATCATCATCATTCATCATTATCATCATCTCTTGTAAACTTCTTTGTGAAGCATTTGTAAGTTGTAAAACTACTTCAGCTCTGGCTACTTCTGTCTGTAAATCCCATCACTTATCAGGTAGTGTAGAATCAAGAAGGTAGTGGTTACATAATGCCCATCCACCATAAACCATTTGCTAAAGAATCTCCCACAACATGTCTCTTCATGACTGCAGTCCCAGATATATCAGTCTGGGTATATCCCTGCTCAACAGTAGGTCCAAACAGGGTCCCTGGAGGTGTAGTGGATGTACTTCCATTTTTCAGACTTTTTGATCTGACACCATGAGTAGATCATGACTTGGATGCAAGACATAGAATCTGTTGGCCAGAATCTTGATTCACTAATGCAGATGCCTGAAGCATGTGTATCAAATATCCACCTACCAGAGTTATAGTAACTCAAGACAAGGACACTAACACCTGGTCAGGTGGTTACAACAGCCAACTGTCAACACGCCATCAGCACAAAGATGTCACCAGCAGCATATTTCAACATCCATCAGTCCAAGGGCATCTCCCTGGCTACAATTTTCCAGAATCCTTTTCATCTGTCCCACTCGCAGCATCTACACCCTTCACCTCCACCCCCGTTTCCGTGACCAGCAACTCCATCTTGTTTGCCTGCTTGTTCTTGAAGGCCTCAGCAATGGCCCTGGCTACGTCTGTGTGTCCCAGCCCAACCATCGTCTGACCATTGACCTCAAGAATCACATGACCGACCTTCAAACCACCGGACTCAAATGCTGATCCCCCAGGCTGAAATATAAGATATGGAATATTGTTGAAGATAGTATTTCTTTTCTGTTACAAGTGAAACAATTTCAGTATCCTATCAACAAAGATAAACTAAGGTAAATACAAGAAAGTAGTGACCCTGACCTTGAATTCATACTGTTTGATTGTGTTCAATACAATTTATGGGAGCAGTCATTTATTAATAGTGAGGGTGTGGGCTCGGGAGCCATTTCTGCAACTGAACACACGGAACTGGCAGTGCATATTGGGGACATGTGCACACGTATTTCTTAAAAGTACAGGATGCAATAATATACCTGTACATTGATGACCCGTGGAAGGGGTTGTCTGGTATTGGCCCCACCTTCAATAGCAAGGCCCAGGGTGGGTTTAGTTCTGTACAGGTTCACCAGGTGGAGTGGAATGTCGCCGTACACCTCCCTGTACTTGGCCTTCATTGATTCCTCCTGAAAATGAATATGGTTAACATGGGTCAAAATCATGTGAAAAATATGGTAACATGGAATAAACTTCTAAAACTCCCTAAATAGCAAAAAGCACCAGTTCACCTTCTGGCCTTGTCAAAGTTTCATGATATAATACCTCTCAGTTCTAGAAACATGATTCGGACAAAAATTTCCTATGGATTGACAAGCTGATTATTATATCTCCCCCCCATATAACCTACTGGAGTCACGATACCAACAACAACGATAATAATAATAATAAATTCAAACTAATGTACTTCAAACTAGACAAATTTTATGGATAACAACTTCTTTATTTCGTAAGCATGATGTTTCGAAACAGCTCTTTGTACCGTTGTCAAGCAGGAAGGACAATGGTACAAGAATCTGTATCGAAACGTCACACTTCTAAAATGCCACTCAGAGAAGTAATGATACTTCAATAACAATTTCAATATTGATATATTATCTGAAGGTAGTATAAACCTCTCTCATGAAAATATATTGTTTGGCTGGAAGGGCAAAAATAATAATCCACTAAATGTGGTCTTTCTTATTGTGAAATATACACTATATAAGATGAGTTTGAAAAATATGAAGCCAAACTTTCAATATGTGCAGCGGGAAATATTAACTTATTATAAATCCACCAAATACATTGCCTTTTCCAACGCGCGGCAAACACAGTTTTTTACATTCTGGTCCTCCTTCCATACACTATTTTCAAATATCAGTACTCATGATGTATCCTTTTATCATCCAAAACTGTGTTCCACAGGAGATATCGCTTGTGTGAGATCAAACGATATCTCCTAGGAGATATCGTTTTGACAGTAGATTTTGTACAATGCCCTGACAATGCTATGATGTCATGTACTTGATGACGTCACAATGCTATGACATCGCTGCACTGCAAGTCTAATGGCAGTACCATGTTCAGAGATGTACATTTTTCATTGAAAATTAATGAAGAATGATTTTGGATGATAAATAGAATCTCACCCTCGTGTCTTCTGATATCAAATATATCAACACTCGTTGATAAAAGTAAAAATATCCTTGGCAAGCCTCGGATATTTGTAACTTTATCAACTCGTGTTGATATAATTGATATCAGAAGACACTTGGGTGAGATTCTCTATATAACAATTGCAGTATATAATTGCGGGCATAAGCATATAATGTGTATTTGTATATACATATGTATATTGGATGAGCACGTGTATGGACGTGTCCGCAGATGAACATATGTATGTGTGTGGAAGTATATAAGAATGTATATGTACATGCACCTAAAGTATAAAAGCTGAAGTGTGTGTATGTATACGAAACAGTGTCCCTATTATGTATCAGCTAAGCAGCAAATACGCTTCATGATTACTGCAACTACGCAGATCTATTACTACACATACTACTGTGTCTACAAAACTGAAAATATTATAAAGCAATATTGTAACATGTGATATGTATACTGCATGAAAGTGGTGTGTAACGGAAAAAAAACTGTATTCTATAGAATGTAAAAACTGTATTCTACTCCGAGTTGTGACTTGTACAACATTCAAATGGGAAATAAAAACATTTAAAAAAAAAAAAAAAAAAAAAAAAAAATTCCATATTTTGTGAACATAATGACAATAAATATTTTTAATAGTAATGATAATTAAAAACTTATTTCAAATAACATGACATTTTGTAACAATATGAATGATTTCAAAAACAAAATCAATAACGCCAATGCCATTCCTATGATAGTAATAACAAAACACCTTCTCATGTAGTTCAATATACGCGACATCAGCTGTGGAGTACACCATTGGCCTGGGGATACGGAACGGCTCAACCGACAGACATCCCTCCATCCAAACAACCACCATCCAGATGCCACCACTGTCCCATAACCACCACTGTCCCACAACGATGATAACTGGACAGATTCACACTGGATCTCAGCCCATCATCCAACACCACAACGTGGATAATTGGGCAGATTCACAAAGGATCTCAGCCCATCATCCAACACCACTACGGTTCTTCAAGTACAAGGATAACTGAGCAGATCAACCCTGGATCTCAGCCCTTCATCCAACGCTGCCAGGGTTCTTCAAGCAATCGTTGTATTCACATAAACCATGCAACCCAGTTGTTGATCGTCTAGTGTTGTATTCACAAGGTGCAGAGATTCAGAACAAGGATATTCTGAAGTTCTCTATATCATCAGCTATTATCAGTTCTCATCATAATCATCAGTTTGCATTGGTCAAGGTTCTCAGTTATTCATCAGTTCGTATCATAATCTTCAGTCACCATCGGTTAAAATCATCAGTTATGATCTAATCTTCAGTCACCATCGGTTACAGTTATCAGTTATGATCTAATCTTCAGTCACCATCGGTTACAATCATCAGTTATGATCTAATCTTCAGTCACCATGAGTCATCCTGTAAGACTACAACCAGCTCCCAGCTGTCATGTATCCCTTGGTCACAACATATCACAGATTTCGTCAATGTGATCAGCCGATCTTCCATGTACAGCTGCATCCCTCACATACAGGAAGGATAACATGCTACATTAACTAAACTTGTGGAGAACCTTGCGCCAGAGTTACCTTCTCATTAATATCATTCAAGAGGATGATATTCACTGTCGAACACACATCCATCAACAGAATATCACGATCGAAACATAACGCTATATAAGTTAATGAGATCTATTCTTCTCATGATATTCTTCCATTTAGTGTTATTAATATGAAACCTTATCACAGAGAGACATAAGCTATAAATCCAACTGTCGTTAGTAACAGATGCTCCATGTACTTTCAGTGAATCCATTAAACACAAGTAAACATTGAGGCTCTGGTCACATGTATCAGTGCGTTTCCTTCATACATCAACCACAGAAGTCAACAACAGTGGAATTCGATTTATCACAACATATCGTTTCCTGCTGCAAAGTCATTAAGAATATCCACACGCAGCATGGCATCCTCTGAGATTATTCTGGTTTAACAACGTCTAGATTACTGACTGTAGTTGACGTAGGTTTCTGTAACAACCCTGTATGTAGCTTATCCACACACACAATCCTGAACTGGAGAATCTCATTAGTGGAAGAATATTTCTAGATGATTGATATGTTTTAGAAACTTCATTAATCTTTGCTATGACAAAACCACATTGAAGACTGGGAACACTGATTTCATTTGTACACATTTCAGCTGTTGATTTTTCTTTAATATTTCTCATGATGTGTTTTAGAAATCAAGAACATATTTTTTGTGCCAAAATCTAATTTGATAAAGGTAACGCTTTCACTTTGAGCACAATTTTCAACAGCTGATAGTTTCTTCTGCCAATCTTCAAAATTCTAAAAACTGTGACAAAACAAATTGGATAAAAATAACAATTTTTGATGCAGTCCTCTTCAAAGTTTGTATATTAATGAAATCTTTTTTCTATTACAAACCAACTTGGGCATAGATAACATGCTTCTTCTTTGATCACATGTTTTAGTTCCGAACATTACTAAAAGGATGATCTCAAAGAAATGTTTCACAACCTGTAACTGTTTTCTATGATACCACTATGTTGAAGCAAAAAAAAAAAGATTCCTGGATCCCATTCTGAACCAACAATCAATTCTTATTCAATGCATGTACTTCATTGCCTCATCCATGAGTGAGTGAATGTTGTTTTGCGCAGCATCAACAAAAAGAAAAACACTAGATCAGACGCATTTCCCAAGGTCAAGGACATGTGTCTCACTGAACTGTTCACAAAACACAATTCACAACAACACAGTCATCCAACAACACCTTCAGGGCCTGAAGTTCATAATGCTATCGCCAACAATATGAGCCCGTATGGAAAATTGATTGCCATGTCCATTAGGTTTATGACTACTGACCATTATATAGTTGCTGGTTCAATTATTTGGATTGAATAATACGTTGACAGTCTGGTCCAAGCCACTTTATTCCCTTCCAGACCTTTGTCTACATTAGTGTGCTGATAGCGATGTCATATAACAGACACCATCATTTCACTCTACTGCGTCACATCACTGTCAGTTGTGGCACTGAATCCAGGAACTGTGATTGATTTACAGAGTCAGCAAAAACAATTAGATGAGTAGCGATGTTAATGGCTCCTGGTGTGTGTTGTATCAGATGACTGCTCCATTGGGCTTTGATTCCAGAAACGATGTCTGTTTGAATAACATGACGTATTCCCATCTATCAGTACCGTCCAGCTGACAAGCATCACCTAATACATTTATACATCTCTCATGATAATGTTTCGGTATCTCAACAATCCTTTCCAAAACATGACTTCTGTGTGGTTGTAGTTACATGAATAGTGACCAGTCATCCATCAGCTCCACACAGTTAAATGTACAACATAATGCCACATGTCCACTTTCAGAATAGTGTCAATCAAAAAGTTCAACATAAGTCCATCTGCTGAATAGGGTCAATCACAAATGACCACTCATGTCCATTTTCAGAATAGTGTCAATCAAAAAGTTCAACATAAGTCCATCTGCTGAATAGGGTCATCACAAATGACCACTCATGTCCATTTTCAGAATAGTGTCAATCAAAAAGTTCAACATAAGTCCATCTGCTGAATAGGGTCAATCACAAATGACCACGCACCTGTGTGGGGCATTTTGTCAATCACAAATCACCCCAAAGTCCCTATTCAGAATCTCCTTGACCAGTGAAGTAAAACTAACCACTGTTTGAAAGAACCATCAACTCATCCCTGAAACTTCTTCATGCTCCGGACTGGAGAGGAAGAGTGAAACATAATTCAAAATCCATGGAAACAAAACCACATATCTCCATATTCCACATCTACAATCCCATTAGCACTCACAAGTCATTACAGTATTACCACCAGCTGGTCATTGGCTGATTCCGACTATTGTTCCATACTGACCACTATAGCAGCAGGTGCCCCATGTGTCCAGGTGACCAGCGGGGATGTATT